ATGTGGCAGGGTAGGGTCATCTCTGCAGGCCCCCATCCATCACACACAGTCACACACACACACACACACACACACACACACATACATGTGAATGTGCACAAATGCATCGGAGGCTGTGGGGATCTGTACTCTGTCAGCCGCTTTATTAGTCCGCCTGTGTGTGTGTATGTGTGTGTGCATGTTAAGGGGCCTCCCAACTGGAAACAGACCCTTCTCCAGAAAGGATACACACTCTCACACACACTTCTTTATTTCTTGTTAGTCGTCCTGCACCTTAATTTGCAACACCTCTAACAACCAGCTCTGCAGCCCACTTCACAGCCACTCAATCTGTCACTGTCACTACTCTGTTTCCATGACTGGCCCTCTCGTCGGGGTAAAGAGTTTGTGTGTGTGTGTCTGTGTGTGCATGTAATTCCTACTCTGTCTACCATTTTTATATTTTGTTTTTGCATGTGTATGTGTGTGCAGCTGCAAAGAGAGGAGGGAAGTTTAATTTCCACTTCTGCCAGGAGAGATTTTATTCCAGGCTGCCCCCTAGCTGCTTCAAGCAGAAGTGCATGCAATCCTGAATCCCCCTCTTTTTTACTCTCTCTACTGCTTGTTTTTCTCTACATTTTCACATATTCTTGATCTAGATAGATTAAAGGTAAAATCCATATCGAAAAGGCAATCTGTCTCTCTCTTTGAGACAACCTTTTTTCATTTGTCAGCCACTTCCCCAGGATATGCGTAGTAGGTGAACCAGGGAGAAAGGCTCTACATGTTCAAAGTGCTGCTTTCCTGTTTTCCCCAGGCAGAAAAACCTTCAATTTAGAGAATTCTGTCAGCTAACTTTTGTCAAAAAAGAGTCTGTTTCTCTGTGTGTCTGTGTGATTATCAGTTGACAACCTGAATCCAAAAAAGACATGTTTTCCCTGGATAGATAGCCATGGCTTGTTGCTTGTCTTTATACCATCTGATGTGAAAAAGGTAAGGCAATATAGCTGATTTCCCAATCAGCATGAAGCATGTAATGCATAAAAAAATAAACCTTTGCCATGCAAAACATCTGTAGACCAGTCAAAATTAAGTTACAGATTTCGTAGAGTTTTAAAACAACAAAAAACAGTATGAAAACAACTACTCTCCTCTATATCACAGGGACATATACATATACATGCAAACGAGGGTGTGTTCACACATTGAAACCCAGGGCAGTGCAACAAAGCACTAAGATCACACCTCATAAAAATATTCCCTTGGCGACACAATAACCTAGCAGTTCTGTCTCACATGCTGTAAGTCTGCTTCTATCTCCATCTCACATCAAAATCACAATCACCACTGCGCTCCGAGCTGCCATTTCCATTTTCTGCCCTCCGTCAAACAGAAAATAATATGTACCTTGTCACCAACGTCTACCCGTACAAGCAACTTTCCTCTACTAATTCAGCCCTGCGCGCTACACACATCCGTCAGATATAACTGGCAGAGGAGAGGGCATGCCGAGACATCCATTAAAGGTTCCTAGCTGTCAAAGGTTCCCCTTTGTGTTATGAGGAGCGATATAAGTGTCGTGCTCTTATCAGAGCTTCCTGTGGAGTTTGCTCTGCATCCTGTCCACTCAGAGCTGCTTCTCTTTCACTGAAGTTTCATTGTGTCTGTGTGTATAGGTGTGTGTGTGTCTGTGTGTGTAGGTGTGTGTTTGTGTCTGTGTG